TCTACAAAAGCATAGAAGGTATGATTGAAGGCGCCCGGCTGCATAGACCACCTTTGAAATAGGCCGAATAAAATAATTGTTCAATATCTTACATATGGGTTACGGCTCTTCTAAACCCTCATTGCTTCAAAATCCCTTCACTCAAAATTCCAAGTGTAATTTTGGCAAGTGTTGTCAGAGTAAAATATATGTACACATCAGATATGCGTGATCCTAAAAGTTTATATCTTCGGTTTTACCACAAATGCAAATAAATGTAGCTATTTTACAACGAATCCTAACACCCACATGCGTTGTACATATTTTTCATATTCAAGCAAGCAGTGAGAGGAGAGAGCGCAGTTGCCTTAGAGCTGTGCGAGTAGCTGTGTCAAGATTTTGACGGCGGAAACGGCCCTGCCATGAAGAATTGTGCTTATATTTGAAGCGATTGCTCGAAATCGACATATTTCTTTCAACTTTATCAACAAATAAATAAAAATGGAAAAGAATTGTGAATTGTGTTATTGATAAGCACATAGAGAATTTCCTTTCCTCACAATGCAAACAAGTACAATATTTTGTGGGCACACCCTTAATTTTACTATTGTACAATTAATCTGGCAAACCACTCTTTAAGTTTCCGTGTTTTTTTTAATATAACGTTAAGTTCAGTGCGTTAGAAATATGTTGGATTGACATAAGGCGAGGTACTCATTTTGCACAAAATTCCGCATATATAGTAAATGTTCCAAAATCAGTTTGTTCCATGCCATAATCAATAGTATTTTTTTTCGATAGTTTTGGTCCACCAATAAAACTTCGACATACATGTATATTATGAAAATGTCTGCCATCGAACGGCGAAGGAAGCATTAACGTAACTATTTGTAGGGTTTATTAAATTTGAATTATTGCTTTTATTTATTTTCAAAATTATTACATAACAATATGTGCCTAACATTATGCCTTTTTAACGAGCACTCAACAGTATTATATACATCGATAATAAGATAATACTGCGTTATAAATAAAATTATGAAATAATATTCTGTATGTAGATAATGTTATCGAAGGAGACGTTATTAAGGGGGAGGAGGAAGGTTTCTAATTTAATATATTAGCATTTGGTACTCTACTGAATTTTGGCACTTGGTTCTCTACTGAGCCCATTAAAAATGGGAAAAAAGGATATAATGTTCTTGTGCAAATGATCGTTTGTGCACCCGTTTAGAAGCTAGTTAGCTAGAGCTGGCTAACTCGTATACTTCGCGCAGATCAAGTTTATTTCCATTTATTGATAACTCTGCTAATTTCGATAATATCGATAATTATGATTTCCCATAGAATGAATTGGTATATCGTACACATTGACTGGATAAATTTCTCCGAAATTTTAAATCAATTTTTATCCAAAAAGTATTCTCAGATTGATCTCATTAGTATCAGGCGCTTGCTTTCAGGCGCAGCAGGCGCTTGCTTTCAGTCTGCATTGATATGCGCGTGCACGTGTGAGAAAGGGACGGCAAGAGCAGAATATATTTAACAACTGGATTCGGGGTATTCGTAGTCGACCTTACTCGACTACGGAATTCTTACTAGTTACTACTAGAATATGATCGATCGATCAGGTATGTGAGCAGCGGAACGGTTCAATGTTATTTAAATCTTTGTTGTTGTGAGTGCAGACTGGAAGTTCAAAGCGTAGTAATTAGCATTTGAATTCAAATTAATTAAAGAACTAAAATTAAATAAGCTTTCCGGTATTCTCTGATGTTTTCCTGGCTGGTGTGGCTGGGTCTCAAGAAAGCTGAAATCATTGCAGTTTATATATTACTTAATCTCGTTGTGGTATTATATTGCTTCATTTATTTATATTTTTCACGCAAAGTTGTCTCTCTAATTTCGAAAATAAAAGGGAAATACCAAAACAGCACAAAACGAATATTTTTTTATTGTAAAGAATGTGAAAAGATTTGTGATTTTTTTTTTAGCGCAAATCTCAAATATTTATATTATATGTAGGTATTATATGTGAGTAGTAATGGTCGGCAGATAGATCGGTAGGCGAGGGATATTGATGGGGGAACCCGGAACCCTGAGACGCCTCGGATTATATCAAATCACCTGTGAGTTTGTTCCCGCCTAACTGCGGCAGAGTGAGCCAAAGACAGCTGATCGGCCCTAACCAAAGCAGTAGTGATGCTCATTTGTCACTCAGTGATGCGCATTTTTGAAGCCAAATACAAAAAGGAAAAGAAAAATCATAAATATTTTGTAAGCTTTAAATTAAGTAAATAGATAAAATTGTATTAAATATATATATAAGCGAATCTAGTGTTAACCAACAAAATGTAAGAAAACACGATGGCACATGTATCACATGACTTGTAAATTAAATAGTCTGGAAAAAATGAACAGTGATAAATTAATGTGATTGGGTGAGATGAGGGCATAAGAAACCAGCGAAAAAGGAATAATTGTGAAAGGGAATTTCTCCAGGAAATTTAGAGGAGGAATCACTAGGAAGAGAGGGACACGCAGGCTGCACACAGCCAACACAGCAGCGAGCGGACTGGTTTGATGGAAATATTTGTTTTTTTTTTATTTAAAAAAGAATACAAATTTTTTGTTAACTTGCCGCCCAATATATCGCGGTCGAACTACCCCTGAGCCGATAGCTTGCCGGCTGAGCGATATATTGGTGCTTTCGACAGGCAAGGCATAACACAGTGTAGAATCGATCTAGCCATTTCCGTCCGTCTATCTTTATGAACAAATGGATCTCGTAGACTCTAAGAACTACCGACTAAATTTGAAATAAATGTTTTTGTCTGCCACGCGCATATCAATTTTCTTATCGATAACTTCAAATCTATTTCCGATAGCAATAAAAGCCACAACTTGAAATTAGTAACTTAAAATATTAAAAATACCACAAAAGAAATACCGAAGTTATGACCTAAAAGGTGATACTGCATATATCGCATTACTATAGGCAGGCACAAGCATTTTCTGTATATACACTTAATAAGTACATTTTTTCCAAATGATAATTAATTTTGCAGCGATTTTGATATCTATGTATATTTAAATATATATATTAATTATCACAATTATGCTGGCGCCTACCTATAGTGATGCGATATATATATGTATACTCACTATTTCGATATTTTAATAATTCGGCAGACTTTCAATTCTTTTTCGGATATACAGTGTCTCGCAGCTTATTTCGGCAGTGTCTAGCAAAAATTTTAAAGTGCTATAAAGTTTAAACAAAGAAACAAACGCAAAATGTTTAAATGTCAATTTGTTTTATGTTATATCACGTTTGAAAAGGAAACTTCAGTTTTCATTAAAATATTAATTAATTAACCAAAATTAGTCAAAAACTGAAAACTTATCCAAAATACAGGTCAAAGCTTATTTCAACAGTCTAGAGAAAAGTAACATATTTGGCGTATAAAAACTTAAATAAGGATGTTAATACTTAGTATGATATCCTTTAGCCTTAATAACTCCCCTTAACCTATTGTTCATGGAAGATACCAGCTTCCGGGTCGTTTCTGGACTAATTTTGCTCCACTCCTCCAGCAGAGCATTCTTGAGATCCTGTTTGCTGGATATGTTTCGATTCCGGATGTTATTTTCCAGCAGAGCCCACAAATTTTCAATGACATTTAAATCTGGAGACTGGGCCGGTGGAATCATCATGTGGGGGCAGTTCCAGATATGCCAGGACTGTACTAATCCGGACTTATGCTTGGCTTGTCCGTGGTAGAACCGGAAAGTACGTCGGATTCCTAGCTTCTTGGCACTTTGGAGTAAATTTTCCTTTAATATATTGAAATACACACTCTTGTCCATTGTTGTTTCAAAAAACGCCAAATTCCCGACGCCGGCTGCCGAGATACATGCCCATACCATGACACTTCCTCCGTCGTGCTTGACTGTTGCCTTTAGGATTTTGGAACTCAGCTCAGTATTGGACTGTCGCCACACATAATTCCGTCCGTCCGAGCCAAAAATGTTGAATTTGGACTCATCTGCAAATATGACTGTGTTCCAGAAGTCCAAATCCTTGTCCAAGTGGGTTTTGGCGAATGTCATCCTAGTCCCTTTATTTTTGGCGCTTATAAAGGGCTTCTTCCTTGGTACTCGGGCATTAAAGTCATGGTTGCGCAGAACCCGGCGCACAGTTTCCACACTGCACCTTTTCCCTATTTCATCCTGCACCTGTTGAGTCAGTTTTGGAGCCGATAGCTTGGGATCTTCCCTTATTTTCCTGATGATCCTCCGCTCCTCCTGTTCGGTGAAAATCTTGTTTGGTGCATTTCTGCCCTTGTCCTCTATCCGATTTTCGTCGACGAATCGACGAATGATGCTGTATACAGTTGACCTGTTTAAATTGACCATTTCAGCTATTTGGCTATGTGAATATCCGTTCTTGAAGTGATCCAGGATGAGATTCCGTTGTTCAATGGTAGTCCGTTTGCCCATAGTCCTTGTTGACTGATTGCACCCGAGATGCAGGATATAACTAAACTGACTATGAAGGATTGGTCTATTTATACCGAAAATAATCAACATTACGTAAAAAATCCGGGTTTTATGGCACCCAGGTGTCCATAATGTCACTGTTGAAAATAAGCTGTGACCATAAATTAAGGTACTTTTTTACATAACCCGGCCCAGCCGGCGGGAAAACCCCAGTTTATGGGGGTCATATAGTCATTATGGTGGTTAATATATGTACCTGCCATAGGTCTTTGGAATTTTTGAAAAATATTGTATTATTAGTTTATGGCAGGCAATTAAAATTTTTGCTAGACACTGCCGAAATAAGCTGTGAGACACTGTAGATATGCGTATTTGAGTGTATCCGTAAAACATGGCAACCCTTACGCAATGTTGCGACGGCGCTGTAGAAATTATCGGCTTCTGACGGTTGAATACTGCAAGTTTGAAGTCTGTTTTGTTTATTTGTTATTTTTTTGGCGAGACATTCCAAAGCATAGACAGTTTTAATTCAAATTTCTAATATTTGCAGATATCAAAGAAAGCTGAATTTGGCAGCAAATGTCAGGCGTGGATCAGGTAATAGGGATTTTGTGTTGTACATGAATACATTCGTACATAGGAGCACGTACCTTTGTGCATTCATTTTAAGGCTCCGAAAATTTCCTGGAGTTTTATGCATCTGCTCTATATACATATGTATATGTAAATAAAATTGCATATATGCATTCACATTAGCATATGTAGTTATGTATGTGTGCATGTGTGAAGTTTAATTTTCATATTAGATTAATTAATTGTTTATCTCTTTCAGAATAAATCAGGAACTGCAGGTACATTTATAATATAATCCGGATTTCTCCAAACAAATTGAATGGATGAATCCTTAATGAAAATCCCGCTTCCTCTAGGATAATTTGATTCATAAAGCAGTTTGCTGGATTCTCTGTAGACCCGATTATATAGGTCAGATTCGGATTCGAGACTATTGTTCTCTAGAGAGTTAATATTTTGGCACGATAATTCATCAGCCATCTTTGCCGGACTTATAGAATATAATAGCGCCGACCTCGTCGATGCGCGCCTTCTGAACTGTGTAGATATTATCTCGTAGAGGTAATGACGAAGTTTTCCCAGGTCCCAAACTATAGATAGCAAGTCTATATTTGGTTGCGTAGTTCATTTCATAATCGTAAAGTTTTCTAGAAATCATTGTTATAGGTGGACCAGCTTGGAAAAGGACTGCTCTGATACCATAGGCTGAGGCGCCAGTAGTCAAGTTAAAAAGTTTTTTGTGGTCGGTGTTTTTATAGTCGATTTTTTTAAAATATGATGACGTCGTTTATGAACAACATAAAACATCGTCAATTGTCCTTTAGAAAATGCTGCATTCCTTAGACTGAAGGAAAGTCCACAAAATTCGTACTTTTCTCCATTTTCGGAGAATGACGTCGTTCGGCTAAAGACATTTGGTGGTAGCCCGATTTCAAAGCCTGCCAATATCATCAATTTGTTTGACATTGAGTATTTATCGGTAATTGTTTTGCGAATAAGTTGCGGAAGTCAATTACTAGACAGTTTATCGTATTGCCGTCTTCATCAATGACATTTTCATCGACCTTCCCTTTTTATGATAACGATTTTAAGTAAGCTAAACTAAACTATTGTCTGTCTAAGCTATTTAATAAAAAAAACTGGACTTTACACCCAAAATTGGCAATATGCATTTGTGAGTGATACAATTTGAGCAATGAATGGATTAAACAGTAAATGGGGGTCTGACTTGTGGGACCTGATGAAGTTATTGGACGCAACCTTGTCGATTAACAATTTAATCTTGTAATCAAGTTCACTTTCATCCTCAAGTTCATCAATAGTTTCAGCAACCGACTTATTCTAAACTCTGTAGCCTGGCCTGGGCTGGAAGCAACATGATCTACTCTCTGCATTCTCAGCGTGGTCATGCGGCCTGAATTACTTCACCTCTTTTCTCGGTATCTTCGTTTAGCTTGCCTGAGCTTGAGGATTTTTGGTAGTAGATTTTCTGTCTAAAATTTGATGAGTATGGATCCACATCCATATGTTCGGAGTGTCATCTGTTAATGAGTTTGGCTGGAGTCTGATGAGACTGACGTTGCCCTCCCTGATTGAAAAACGGACTCTTGGATCGCAAATGTGCGGCAAAAAATATATCAGGCAGGTTCCGTTTGAGGCCTGATATGAACATCCGCAGGGCATAGCCCCTAAGTTTTTTGCACATACCTTTCGCTAAGCTTTTGTCGAAGTCATGTTTACCTTATTGGCTAGCAAGGTGAGCTTTTTCTTTACCTGATCGTAATATTCTAATAGGGACGAGCCGACCCATCTTAGGATACCCATTTCTTGTTCAATAACGTGAATGGGACTGTCACTGTACGTAAAATGCAGTCTTGCGATTATGGTTTCGACGTTCAAGACCGTATTAAATGACCCTAAGGATGCGTCAGCGGATGCCCTTATCTTAGACGAATACTAATGAGAACTTGAGAATTTGGCAGAAGCCGCATCTGTTGGGAGATTTCTTTTTATGTATTTATGTTATTTCTTCGTATCAAAGAATCCAATATTAACTAATCAAATCACCTATGTGTTTTTTAAAGGTGAATAATAGCGAGCGATTGTTGATTCCACCGTTTCCTCGATGCGTGTTCGTTGAATGCACCTCCAGTTCCTTCCTTTATTTTTCTTTTCTTTTCTTCAAACAATTTTTTATCTTTGCACGTTAATGTTTTCATCAGAATTCTCGTTCAAGCTTGTTTTTTACACAGATTTGTATTTGTTTGTTTATTTGTTTTCTTGCTTATGACGTAGGATCTACGCGGTTGGGAGCCAATTAGCCTTTATTATTCGAAGGGCAGCTATCTATTTATATCACCTCTCCGTTAGTATGTTTAGAACTAAAATTTAAAATGAATATCAGAAATATATTACCCTAAACTAACTAACTGTGAATTACACGCTGTGATTTGGGCAACAAAAATAGCATCGACTTAAAATGTTTTCATTCAAAAACTGTTGCCACAGTAGGCTTGACTTAAAAGCGTAAAAAACTGAACAAACTTTTGTCCTGATTAATAGGAAATCTATGGATCCACAATTGAACGAAATACAGCGTATTGCCTGCGAACTGCGTTCGGACAAGGCGCCGGCGCGAAACAAGGCAATTGAACAGCTGGACCAGAAACTGAACAGCTTTAAGAGTGCTTTAAACGCGGTGCTGGGTCGCAATGAGGAGCTTTCTTGGCAAAACCTTCTTGTGATCGTCAAGGAGGCGATCTTAAAGCACGCGAATAACTTAAGAGATGCGACGTCGGAAAAGGCTCGTAAGCAGTTGGCGGACAAATGTTATTTGTACGGCAATGTCATGGACCGTATCATCGACTATAATTTGGAGATGGGCCGAGCGAGCAGCGGACATTTTCTGACAAAGTCAACGATATTCGATGCCTTTGTGGACGGCACTAAAAGTGACATTGTTGTCCGTTACTTTGGAGTGAATTTCGTTAATTTACTGGACAGAGGCATATACTTATCGTCTAGGTATACCTTGGAATTGAAAGTCAGCGAATATAGTAATATTCTCTCTGTTTTGTTTGAGCTGAATATTGATGACGATGAGTTCCTGCGCTCCAAGATATTGAAATGCATCACAAAAACCGTCGAAATAGCCCAGGAGCGTACTCAACTGCACGACGATTTGGTGGAATATTTACCAACCCTAATCAGCTACACTCAAACCGCCCACAATGCCGAACGAATAAAGGATGTTGTACGACTATATTATCTATTCGTTGGCGAGTTATCGGTTAACTATCATCACACACTGTGCATTCACATGCAGAATATTATACCGAAACTCTGTGACTTTTACAACGAGGACAAATTCTGTGATGATACAAAAAAGTTATTCTTCGAGTGCGTTATCCTATCGCTGCAAGCTCTATATCCGAAATTAAAAAGCAACGATTTCAGCACATTTCAAGTGCCCATCAGAGATGATTGGCCACAGAGCATGCAAAAGTTGCATACCATCATTAAAATGGAGATTAGGAAGCACACTATGGGTCGCAACAAACCATCCGTATTGAACACGGATAAATTTCCACTGATATTTATTAAACTGTCCGCACTTGTCACTTACATTGTTTTGTGGCATGTGGAACCGAATCAAAATAAAGATGCGGACGCAAATACTAGCAAACGTCAAAAGGTCGACATCATGACTTCTATAATCAATCTGATTAACATGCAGAAAACTAGCTTCAGTGCTGTGTGGTTTGCCATATTTGCCGAGCTGTTGCAGCTGAGTAGCTCGATAATAAGCGAGGGTAATTATTATCAGGAGATGCGTGAGACGACATTGCATGTTCTTCAAATCTATGGCAACGCATATAATTTGCGCAATGTACGCCTCTGCCTGGCGAGCATGCTGGCTAAGGAACAGGAGCAGAAGCTTTCGAAATCGCATACGATAGTTTCCGACTTTTATGCACAAGTTGCCACGCATCTCATTTCAGAGACACGTCCGGCTGCCGAAGAGATAATCGAGAAACAGATCATACTGCAGTCGCTGATCAAATATGATAAACTGAGCGCCAAACTCTGCACCACATTGCTTCAAAGCATCACAACGAATGAGATGTTGAGAAGGAATGAGTGCATCGCTACCATTCGCGTCATATTCACACATGCCGAACAGTGTGGCATTGATAAGGCCACCGCTGTTGTGGAGCCTCTCATTAGGTGGGCCTACGATCACGAGAAGAGCATTGCAACGCAAATAATCAATAATATTGCTGCTATCGATCAGAAACTTTTGGCGGACACATTCGCCATTGGCATCATTAATTTCCTTGACGAAGACCAAGTGCAGCAACTGGCCACCAGCAATAACAATAACTCGCCAATAGCCACAGAGAAAGCAGAATTTACCCAACTGCAGCTATTGCTATACAAGTACAATAAGCAGCTGGTCTGCCTGGATGATCCTTTTCAGTCGCGGCTACGAGGACCTATTACGGCGCACAGTGAAACACCGGCGAGCGTGAAGAGCTGCCTGTATGTGCACAATTATGAGTTGCTTATGCGCATGCTCGACCCGGCAATCACGAATGAGTCCAGCACCAGTTCCTTGATCAAGGATCTAAAGAATTTGCATAAGTTAGTTTGCACCATGGAACGTTTGCTTCATTACAATGTCTTTGACGTGTCGAATTTTATGCAATGTCCGCTCATGAAGCGCATTGGTTTTTTTCTCAGCCACACGGAGATTCAATACACTTCTATTCAGCCGGATATTAATCGCATAGACGAGAGTGATTTTCATGAGATTCTAGATGAACAGATTGCCATTCTCGAAGTATTCAATTCGAATGAGATACTATTGGAGTATCTAGAAAAACAGCCGATGGAAATGCTGCTCGAGTTCATAGGTGTGCTGCTTAAGCATAGTTACACACGCAAGGATCACACGAAGAGCACAGATCGTACAGCACTGAACACAAAATGCGTCTGCATCCTTGGCAGCATGTGTGCAAACAGCACGTATAGTACCGATGCCATTTCCCATCTGGTCAAGAACCTCATGGAGCGCAGTCCGCTTAATGATGAAATGATGATAATTAAGATGCTGTGTCGCTGCAAGGGCTTATCGGAGGAATGCCTTGAATGGCTGGCCTGCAAGCTGAAGAACATATTTCAGCATCACAATACAAATGTGGATATCATGAGCCAGGTGGTTGAGGAAATACCCACTCTTACGCACTTTTTTTATGACATTGAGCATTTGCTGGACGTTATAATGATAGCGCTGATGTCGTTGTTGAAGATAGCGTTAAAAAAATCATATCCAACCCAATTGGCTGTCCAAATTGTACGCTCCGTGGGCCAAATAGCACAGAGTTGTCCCAACATTTACAATTCAGAGAACTTTTTGGTGATTTGCCAATCGGTGGCCAATTTTTTAGCAATGCCAACGCTGGAAGTGCGCTATGCGACAATTGAAACGCTTACGATACTCCTAAATTCGAACTATTGTGTTTCGAACAGCGATGCCGATACAACTAGCAAGCATAATAGACATTTGATATTTTGTGATCAGCTGTACGGGTCCATTGACTTTAAAGACCTGTCGTTCACCGGCAAGGACATGTTGCTGAATAATCATTCGGTGGCCATACAATCGTTATCTGCATTCTTTGCCTTTAGTGCATTCCATCAGGAGCGTAGTTTGCAGGATCTAATGTCGTACTGTGCGACCCATAAACTCAACGCAAACGATTTCAGTGCATTAGGAAGCCTAGTGCAGTGCCACAAGTTAACGATGTGCGAACTTATGACGCCCTATTCGGATACCATGCTCCAAAAATGGATTTCACTGCGCCGGTCCGTGTCTAAATTTCCGTATTATCTGGGCTATGACACAAAGGAGGCATTTCTTAAAGCTAATTGTAAAAACATAATGGCTTATTCATTCATCTATCGCACGCCGGAGGATATAAATCGTTTTAAAACACTTTTAAGCGAGCGGGAGGCTGCGCCTATCCTGATGGCCTATATGGTGTCAGAATGGAGCGATTGCATTGAAACGCAAAATGAGGACTTTCGGCAGCATCTGGAGAATCTCAAACATAATATACAGCTATTTGGAATGCATCCTTTGGATGTTGCACTCAATGTGGAAAGCCTTTATGAAACGATCAGACATTTGCACGATGAGGACGAATGGATCCGGTTGTTTGGCGAATCTGCGCCCTACAATAAACTACGAATGTGGTTTCATCTTAGCGCATCTTCGCTCTTTAAATCTTTGAACCAACACATTAGTGGTAAACGATGGTCAAGGGATGAGCGTATTCAGGCCATGTCCCTATTGATGTTTGAGCATAGGCTGCTCTTAGTTGATCTCCTTGGCATATTGAAGACCGCTTGCCATCTGGCTATGCTCGCCGATCAAGTATTGCACAACTTTTTCTCATACTGCACCATTGCTGATGCAATACTGGATGCGGCTATGGAGAGATCATCATCAAATATAAAGACGGATGCGGATTTAATTCAAGTCAATTGCGCTTACTTTGTGAGCGACATTTGGCACTTCTTCTGCGGTTTTCTGTTGCACAGTAAGTGTGGACAACTGCATCGAGTTGCCCTACTTTATATTCAATCGAGGCTCAATATTTGCACTTTTCAGTCGCACAACATCAACACAATCGATTTTGATAAAATAGGCAAACTTTTGATTGCCTCCATGCAACACGTCAAGACGGTAGAGTTGAAGTTATTGGCAGCCGACGTTCTGAAAAAATTCCTGAATATATTCAAGCTGCAGCTCAATGAAGATGGGGCTGACAAGGCGGCAAATCTGCAAACACTGCGTGATCTTTGCGAGATGACATTAAATGTACAGACGCTGCTGGTGGATGAGGATAGCGAGGGGACGCATCTGCAATCGCTGCGTGATCTTTGCGAGATGACGGTACCACGATTTGAACAGCTCAGCGTTGTCGACTATATGCGTACATTCCTCAAGTCTAATAGAATGGAGCCCTTGCATGGCCTACGTGAATATATTGCCGAGCACAAGGACGAACTGCAGAGTCATCAGCAATTGTTGTTTGAGCTAATCAATCGTCTCATTCACATGGTGCGCGAGTCTCCCAGCAAGAAAGGCAGCATTGATGCCGTCAAATCTCTAGCCGAAATTGGGCCACTCAAATTGAAGCGGAACTCGTATTATTTTCAAACCGAATTTGAAGACATTCAGCAGTTGCAGTCGTCTGAGCAACCGATTGTGCAGTTTCTTGACGTCATTATGGAGACGCTGGAAAAGCAGTTGTATGACTTCAATACGAGCACACAGAAGGCGCTTATCCAAGTGGCTGGCCATGTGGTCGACAGCAAGGATGGCAGCAAATTAGTATCGGATCATCCACATTTGCGTATCTTTAAAACTAGCCCAAATAATTTGGGTTTCCTCAACACATCCGACAGCATTCCGGTAATAGATTGGCTGACCGTACTCAAATCCAGTGAACAGTTGGACTATAGGCCATGGCTGTGCACATTTATGGGTTTGGTGTTTGGCGAGTGCGGTTGGCAAGGATTCGATGCGTTTGCGGCCAAGTCATTTACATTTGCCAAGGCTTGTCTGCAACCGTTTATCAAACTTTTGCTTAGCAATAAGGAGCAACATTTGGACAGCCTGTGTTCAATGCTCGAACACTTTTTCGAGAGCGCCGCAAGCGAGGCCAAGGGTGTCTACCAGGATAAGCGTGTCATCAAGCAATTCCTCTACATATGCGAATGCATTCGTCTTGTTAACAATTGGAGTATACCCATCAATCTTGAGAATGTGGTCAAGGCGAGCAATCATTGCCAGGCGTATTTCCTTAGCATTATGTATCTGGAGTTGTGGGCGTATTCCGCAAATGCAACCGCCGATGCAAATATCCTTGCAGATGAAAGCTTCCAATTGTCCGCAAAAATTGCATATACATCGATTGGCTGTCTAGATGCAATTCCCGGCTTCCTGGATCCGTTGCGTTCGCGCTCTGATTATTTTAGTTTGAATGATAACTTATCGGGCATTCTGCTGGAATCGGATAATCTGGACGAGCCGACAAGGCAAATGTGTATTGACATTATGAAGTCGAATGGAATGCTATCGCTAGCTGACCTTTATCAGCGTGTCGCCGTAGACGGGACAACACGGGTGGACTATGAGGTACTGTGGCGTCTATGTGATTGGGACGCCCCGATTGATGGTCATCAGAAGGTAAATCGAGCGAACAACATGGAACTGGAGTTCAATAAGCATCACTATTTGGCACTCAAGAGCATCAGCAAACGGGAGAAGGAGACCACAGTAACAGCCATCAACAATGCCTATCAATGTGTCCAGGCTATATTGCGGGATATCAGCGTGGAGTGCTTACAGTCTGTCTACAAATATATGACTTGGTTGTGCATGCTGCAACAGACCGAAGATTTTTGGCAGATTCAGTTTAGTCAACAATTGAGCCCAGCACAAAAGAACGTATTTAACAAGTGGCGAACGGAACTCAATCTCGCCTATGGCAACTTTAGATGCAAGGAACAAATACTTGCCCATCAGATAACGCTGTTCAAAATGCCTGGCATGCGCGCCGATAGACGCATCAAAGAACATTATCTTCAAAATCCGGTAGACACCTATCTGCTCAAGTGCATCGGCGAGTGCAAGGCCGCGGGTAAACTGAATTTGGCCACCAAGTATATTGCCACACTGCGTGCTCTGCCGGACATCAAGATGCCTACACAGCTATCGGCGCTGCTGGAGGATGCAGAAGTAAATATGAAGACGTGCAACTATCAGATCGCCAAGGCCATATTGCATCACGTGAATACGAATAGCGATTTTAAGTATTGTGTGGAGCGTGTGACGGCTCTACGAATGCAGGGCGAATTCCAGCTGGACTGCAATGCCGATAATTTTGCCAATACTTTGCGACAGACATTTAATACATCACTCCAGCTGCTGGATTATTTCAAGGCGCACAAGGTACAGCTTATGAAACTGGACTCCAATTTGATCGTTTGGGATAAATTCGAGCAGTTCGAGATTGATAATCGGATGGCAGCGCATGCGTCCATAGCCAAATATGCGGATCGTGAATATCAACAGCTTTACGACTATCGCCAGTCGCAGGAGTATAAAACTCTTGTCGATATCATCCAGCAGAATCGTCGCTTGGCTGGCACGGTTACGGCTAGTCGGCAGCGTGAGGATCGTGATCGTCAATTGGGTGCACTAAATTTAAAACGATTCGCCAATCTGGACGCACAGGAACTGAACCGCATCGAAAACAATCTCACCGAGCATCTGTGCACAGCGATCACACATTATATTGAATATTGTCAACTTGATAAAGGATTCTCAAGTGCGGAAATTTATCGCATCATCGCACTCTGGTTCACAAACGATCAAAATGAACAGATGTTGAACACCATCAAAGATGCAATTCAATTGGTGCCCAGCTACAAGTTCATTTGCGTTGTCAGTCAGCTTGCCGGGCGTCTGAACTCGAAACATGCCCCTTTTCACAAGATTCTTGTCGATTTACTTGTACGCTGCGGCCAGGATCACCCACAGCAAACATTCTACAAGCTATATCCATTGGTCTATGCCTATCTCGATGGCGAATATGCCAATACACAACGCGCCGACATCGCCAAAAAGATTATCGCTCGCAGCTGTGAGGCAAATACGGCCGCCCTCGAGGCTAGCAAACAATTCGAGCTTATGTTTCCAGCGCTAATTAAGTTTGCCAATAGCTATATTGGCCCAAATGGCAAGCCCAATAACGAAATGATGCCCGCTATGATAGTTGAGCTAAATAAACTCAAACTGGACCGTGTGCAGTGTCCCACAATTGAGCTGGTCGTGCAGCCCAGCAAGGAATACAATATAATCAGCATTGTGAAATGGACGGGTAAATATGAATTCTGTGGTGGTCTGAATGCACCAGTTAAATTGATGTGCCTCTGTTCGGACGGTGTGGTGCGTGCTCAACTGATCAAGGGCAAGGATGATCTACGCCAGGATGCTGTCATGCAGCAGGTGTTCGGGATTGTCAACGAACTGTTCAACAGTGATTCGGAGTTCGCTGAGCGTAAATTGCAATTGCGCACCTACAAGGTGACGCCTCTCTCCATGCGATGTGGCATCATCGAGTGGGTAAGCAACACAATACCGATCGGTACCTATCTGGCTGGTAATGGCACTGGCGGTGCCCATATGAAATATCGACCCACAGATTGGAACAATAATAAATGTCGCCAGATGGCAGCGGCAGCGCTAAAAAAGACACCCGATGTACGGCGAAGTGTCTACAAGAAGATTTGCGAGAAGGTGCAGCCAGTGTTTCATTATTTTTTACTCGAGAAATTTCCAATACCGGGCGAGTGGTTTGAACGCCGGCTGGCTTACATCAATAGCGTGGCGACCACCTCCATGGTGGGCTATGTGCTTGGATTGGGCGATCGCCATACGCAGAACATTCTCATTGATGCACAGACCGCCGAAGTGGTGCATATTGACTTTGGTATTGCTTTTGAGCAGGGCAAAATTCAAAATACGCCAGAGACGGTGCCGTTTCGTTTAACACGCGATATGGTCGCTCCGATGGGTGTGTGCGGCACAAATGGTGTATTTACGAAGTCCTGCGAGGCCACCATGCATATTTTGAGGCGTTACAAGTCCGTATTGATCACCATACTGGAGGTCCTACTGTACGATCCACTATTTATTTGGGGCGTGCTCTCAACAGAGCAACAACAGCAAATGTCCAATGAAGAATCGAAGAACATACTGGCGCAACGGGCTCTCTTGTTGGTCAAACATAAACTGGAAGGCGGGGTGCCCGGATTACTGGAGAACTCGGATGTGAAAACGCAAGTTCAGCGTTTGATCAACGAGGCAAAACTGCCCAGCAATTTAGCAATGCTATATCATGGCTGGGATCCATATATGTGATACGCCGTGCTCCTAGTCCCTCACGCATAACATCACAATTAAAGCAAACACATTTATCCATTTACTTTATTATTATTAAATTTTCTTTCTCGAGCGAGAGAAGCTTAAAATCGCCTCACTTTATGCTTATACTTTGTTACGCATTATTCGAAAACCAATTCGCAGCTGGAATGGTTTGTTTGGACATAGGCTTAAGATAATTAATAATAAAATAAAAGAAAATATCATATTTTTGTCTTGATTTGTTTTTCTATCTTAAATTTGATTTGTTTGTTTTCTTAAAGTCTATGCTTACAGTATAATTAACAATCAGGCGGTTCGCTCTCGGCAATCCTTTGGAATTGCTCCTTTTTGTCCCACAATGATGAGGAATCTGCATACGGACACTGCAGGATTTTTCTAATTAACATATCCTTTTTGACACTTGTCACGTGATAGTGTTCCTTATGTTGCGGCTTCTTCAGGCTCGCTTTACGAGCTATGGCTATTTCATTGGCACTTTTTAATCATACGAGTATCCTTTTTTAACATACCGGTTCCTGCATGGGAGCCAATTAGACGGTCCTTAAATTGATTTTTAAAAAGAAATATCGTTTATTTCGATTGCCTTATTAGAAATTAACTTTACAAACTTAAACCGTATTGCTACTTGGCATCTTGTATTTGTCCGAATTTGGCGCTCCTGTCGTTCATTTTTCATATGCCTTGGCACTGATCGATGGTTTTGGTTTAGCATCATTGGCTGAGTTCAACGGTGATGAAATGTGTTCACCTGGAGCGGGTTGGTATAAGTGCATGAGCGATTTGTAATAACTGTTCTTAACTTGTACAGCCCTCGCCTTAATAGGAATCGCCATACCGAGGTCAGCCTCAAAAATTTGTTGGGAACAGAGTGGTGTGTGCTTGTTCCCTAAGCGTTAATTTTAAAAACTTTGTCGCCTATTTGATAACTTTTGTATGCACTGTTTTTATTATTTGCTTTCTTCAGCCCTAAGAATTTTGTATTATTTTTGGAAGGATTTCTGATATGCACAGTGTTTGTTTTGGCAGTGTGATGATCGTATTCTTAATGATGTAAGGGCCGAGGCATTTGTAGTTGTTTCATACGGGTAGGCTTTAGTATGGGCTGAGCTTTTTGCCGTCATCGCATTATTTTTTGTAATTTTTTTTTTGAATACATGGTAGCTTTGCGTCACATATTCTCTCAATTAGCGATTCTCTATATGAGAAATGTGAGAGAGAGAGAGAGAGAGAGAGCTTTGTTCACCAAACATAAGAAAATACAATCTGGGGAAATCTAATTTTCTCAATAATTATTTGGAAACAGTTCACGCCTTGTCACCTGATTCAATAGTGTAGGTGAATGATATCTCACTACGTACCTATTGTGGCAATGTTTGACCGTTTATCAACTTCTAGGGCATGGATGGTTTGTTGCGATAACGATAATATATACATGTATGTATGTAGCACTGATTATGTCCCATAATATTATTAATATTAATAATAATAATTAATGTAGTTATAAGTATATTACATTGAAGTATGAGTATTATATTTTATGCATGTTAATGATTTGACCACTTAAAGAGCGTCAAATTGCAAGATCACCAAAATGCCACTCGTTGAAAGAAGGCAGCTGTTTAAATATTAACATTAGGCGTCCCCATGTTTTGATCACGAAAATGTCACTCGTTGAAAGGCGGCGATATGTTTATATCAGATTCTGATTGCATATGCAGGCTACACTTTGACAACTTCATACTGACGACCTTAACGAAGCGCTTCCAAAACTCGATTCTTCTGTTCTGATGTCTTCTATGACTCTTCTTCTTCTAATCAAGCTATTATTACATTAAAATTAAACACTGTATTGTACGATGCAAGCATACCATCAGTGTAATTCCAATTTTTTTTATTTCGGATGATACGTAGGGACACGTAATGCCTTCTGCTATCTTCGTATGTTTTAATGATAATCTTTGTTATAGTAATTTTAAAAATAAACGAATTTCAATTGTGAGATTTTTATTCTACCGCTTTATTCCGAGGTGCATAAAAGATTTTATTATTTATAATGAAAGCTTCGCTAGAGACAAAAAATTTTAACAAGACTCAGAACTTATATAGCTGATCATTAATATAAGATCCTTATAAGATTGGAGATCTCTTGTGAAATAGTCAGAAACATTTTTTCTATTTTTTTTTTTTATTTACTTTTGTTTTCAAAACTTAAGTAATTATTTTAAAAGATCTATTTAAAAATTGTCACGCTAATTATGGCCTGTTGCTTACCAGTATTGTGCCAATTGCAACAAATATAACAAATTAGCATTCTCTATTTTGTTAAACAATGTTTTTCATGGTTTTTATTGAGTTGTCGAATGTATTATTTTTGATATAATTAATATTCCAATCTTATACATAGAGATGAATGAAAAACAAATTTTAAATTTGTAGTGAGAAATGACTTACTATATTATCAGCGGTAAACGTTTTAAACTGAATTATAAATGGTTTTCTCATGATAACAGATGGCTTGATTAAGGCTATTTCTTCGATACGAATGCTTGTGAAACTTGATGATAGATTTTGTTATAATAAAAATAAGTAAATATAAGTAACGTAATTTTATAAAAATACTTATAAATTATTATTTTTAATGCTACTAATATTTTGTTTAATAAACATTGATATAACCTTAACTTATGTCTTTTATTACCGCCACATAGATCGTGCTAACAGAAGGTTGCTCGATACGCAAAAGTAAATTCAAAGTAAAATCGGATACATAAGGGTTTGTATATTGACTCACACCACTTGCATTTATTTAAAATCGCTTACAAAGTCTTTAAATTATCAGCTTGCTTGCTTCCTTGCAAGTTAAAGTAAACGTTCGCTCTCATTACACAGCAACACCAAAAGATAACAGATAAAGTTTTTTTTTATTTACAATTTGTGTTTGCGACATACTTTCGATGACGAACTATTTTATGCAAGAGTTCCTGTTGAAATTTCTGCTTATTGTATTTATTACTCTTTCTGGTCTAAAGAACTTGGAGGACGCTGAGCTGGGGCCACCAGATAGGTAGCTTGTTGTGGATAATGACCGGCCTCATCTCGGGAGGTCAACTTCGAGTAAACACCATCTCGCAAACACCGCCGACGGACACCCCCAACACGTTATGCGCTGCGGTTAACAATGTTGCGACACGGCATCAGCTATTCTTCCGCTACGGAACCATCACTGTCAGCGGGCTTACAAAACAGAGTTGAGGGATAACCCAGCCCCAACAGACAGGGAGACTGAAATGAGGGATGCGATTGAGAATGTGGATATGCCCATGTACTCACACGACCTCACAGAGGAGCTTCAGTAATGGAGGAGTACATTTGTATTTAAAATCTGGGAAGAAGTATTGGATACTGCCCTGATCAACCAGTTGCAGAAGAAACACATTAGGGAGTGGCATGTCGTTCTATTGGAATAATACGAATAAATGGTAACCAAATCTCAACCCCTAGAACTCAGCATAAACGTAAGTTCCTTGGACCTAGAGCGAGGTATTAGCAATCTTAATAGCAGCATAATAAATGTTTTTGAAGAAAGCTACCACTCGGCAAAAAGAAAAGGATGTTCATTGCCAGCCATGAGAGCCTGCATCTCAACACCCATCGCATCTGCAATAAAGGAAAGAGAGATTAATTATTGGACCAAAGCCATGAAAGTCTGACCTCCTATAACAAGATTAAGAAAAGCAAGCGGAAGAACTATGAGGATTTTTACAAAAGCATAGAAGGTATGATTGAAGGCGCCCGGCTGCATAGACCACCTTCGAAATAGGCCGAATAAAATAATTGTTCAATATCTTACATATGGGTTACGGCTCTTCTAAACCCTCATTGCTTCAAAATCCCTTCACTCAAAATTCCAAGTGTAATTTTGGCAAGTGTTGTCAGAGTAAAATATCTGTACACATCAGATATGCGTGATCCTAAAAGTTTATATCCTCGGTTTTACCACAAATGCAAATAAATGTAGCTATTTTACAACGAATCCTAACACCCACATGCGTTGTACATATTTTTCATATTCAAGCAAGCAGTGAGAGGAGAGAGCGCAGTTGCTTTAGAGCTGTGCGAGTAGCTGTGTCAAGATTTTGTCGGCGGAAACGGCCCTGCCTTGAAGAATTGTGCTTATATTTGAAGCGATTGCTCGAAATCGACATATTTCTTTCAACTTTATCAACAAATAAATATAAATGGAAAAGAATTGTGAATTGTGTTATTGATAAGCACATAGAGGATTTCCTTTCCTCACAATGCAAACAAGTACAATATTTTGTGAGCACACCCTTAATTTTACTATTGTACAATTAATCTGGCAAACCACTCTTTAAGTTTCCGTGTTTTTTTTAATATAACGTTAAGTTCAGTGCGTTAGAAATATGTTGGATTGACATAAGGCGAGGTACTCATTTTGCACAAAATTCCGCATTTATAGTAAATGTTCCAAAAATCAGTTTGTTCCATGCCATAATCAATAGTATTTTTTTTCGATAGTTTTGGTCCACCTATAAAACTTCGACATACAGTGTCTCGCAGTTCAACTGGAACAGCGCCTAGCAAAATATTTAAAGTGCTATAACTTTTAAACAAAACAATAAACGCAAAATGTTTAAATGCCAATTTGTTTTATGTTATATCACGTTTGAAAAGGAAGCTTCAGTTTTTATTAAAATATTAAATAATTAACTGAAATTAGTCAAATACTGAAAACATATCCAAAATACATGTCAAAGTTTTTTTGGAACAGTCTTAGAAAAGTAACATATTAGGCGTATAAAAACTTAAATAAGGATGTTAATACTTAGTATGATATCCTTTACCCCTAATAAAGTCCCTTAACCTATTATTCATGGAAGATACCAGCTTCCGGGTCGTTTCTGGACTGATTTTGCTCCACTCATCCAGCAGAGCATTCTTGAGATCGGATCTGTGATTCCGGATGGTATTTTCCAGCAGAGCCCACAAATTTTAAACAACATTTAAGTCTGGAGACTGGGCCTGTGGAATTATCATGTGGAGGCAGTTCCAGATATGCCAAGACCGTACTAATCCGGACTTATTCTTGGTTGTTGTCCTGGTCGTTGTCGTGGTAGATCTGGAAAGTACTCCGGATTCCTAGCTTCTCGGCACTTTGGAGTAAATTTTCCTTTAATATATTGAGGTACACATTCTTGTCCATTGTTGTTTCAATAAACACCATATTTGCGACGCCGGCTTCCGAGATAGATGCCCATACCATGACACTTCCTCCGCCGTGCTTGACTGTTGCCTTTAGGATTTTGGGATTCAACTCAGTATTGGGCTGTCGCCACACATAATTCCGTCCGTCCGAGCCAAAAATGTTGAATTTGGACTCATCTGCAAATATGACTGTGTCCCAGAACTCCAAATCCTTGTCCAAGTGGGTTTTGGCGAACGTCATCCTAGTCCCTTTATTTTTTGCGCTTATAAAGGGCTTCTTCCGTGGTACTCGGGCATTAAAGTCATGTTTGCGCAGAACCCGGCGCACAGTTTCCACATTGCACTTTTTCCCCATTTCATCGTGCACCTGTTGAGTCAGTTTTGGAGCCGATAGTGTAGGATTTTCCTTTATATCCTGATGATCCTCCGCTCCTCCTGTTCGGTGAAAATCTTGTGTGGTGCCTTTCTGCCCTTGTCCTCTATCCGATTTTCGTCGACGAAGCGCCGAATGATATTGAATACAGTTGTGGTACTCAGATTTACCATTTTAGCTATTTGGCGATATGAATATCCAATCCTGAAGTGTTCCAGGATCAATTTCCGTTGTTCAATGGTAGTCCGCTTGCACATAGTCCTTGTTGGCTGGTTGCACTCGAGATGCAGGATATAACTAATCTGACTACGAAGGATTGGTCTATTTATACCAAAAATAATCAACCTGACGTAAAAATTCTGGGTTTTATGGCATCCAGGTGTCCATAACGCCATTGTTCCACATAATATGTGACTACAAATTAAGGTACTTTTTTACATAACCCGACCTAGCCGGTGGGAAAACCCCAGTTTATGGGGGTCATATAGTCATTTAGGTAGTATAATAATTTGTTTATGGCAGGCAATTAACTTTTTTGCTAGGCGCTGTTCCAGTTGAACTGCGAGACACTGTACATGTACATATATTATGAAAATGTCTGCCATCGAACGGCGAAGGAAGCATTAACGTAACTATTTGTAGGGTTTATTAAATTTGAATTATTGCTTTTATTTATTTTCAAAATTATTACATAATAATATGTGCCCAGCATTATGCCTTTTTAACGAGCACTCAACAGTATTATATACATCGATAATAAGATAATAGATAATATTATCGATAATATTATCGAAGGAGACGTTATTAAGGGGGAGGAGGAAGGTTTCTAATTTAATATATTAGCATTTGGTACTCTACTGAATTTTGGCACTTGGTTCTCTACTGAGCCCATTGAAAATGGGAAAAAAGGATATAATGTTTTTGTGCAAATGATCGTTTGTGCATCCGTTTAGAAGCTAGTTAGCTAGAGCTGGCTAGCTCGTATACTTCGCGCAGATCAAGTTTATCTCAATTCATCGATAACTCTGTTAATTTCGTTAATATCGATACATTGTGATTTCCGATAGCATTAATTGGTATATCGTACACATTGACTGGATAAATTTCTCCGAAATTTTAAATAAATTTATTATCCAAAAAGTATTCTCAGATTGATCTCATTAGTATCAGCAGGCGCTTGCTTTCAGTCTGAATTGATATGCGCTTGCACGTGTGAGAAAGGGACGGCAAGATCAGAATATATTTAACAACTGGATTCGGGGTATTCGTAGTCGACCTTACTCGACTACGGAATTCTTACTAGTTACTACTAGAATATGATCGATCGATCAGGTATGTGAACAGCAGAACAGTTCAATGTTATTTAAATCTTTGTTGTTGTGAGTGCAGACTGGAAGTTCAAAGCGTAGTAATTAGCATTTGAATTCAAATTAATTAAAGAACTAAAATTAAATAAGCTTTCCGGTATTCTCTGATGTTTTCCTGGCTGGTGTGGCTGGGTCTCAAGAAAGCTGAAATCATTGCATTTTATATATTACTTAATCTCGTTGTGGTATTATATTGCTTCATTTATTTATATTTTTCACGCAAAGTTGTCTCTCTAATTTCGAAAATAAAAGGGAAATACCAAAACAGCACAAAACGAATATTTTTTTATTGTAAAGGATGTGAAAAGATTTGTGACTTGCTTCGCGCAATACTGCAAATCTCAAATATTTATATTGTATGTAAGTGCAGAATCGATCTAGCCATTTCCGTCTATATGAACAAATGGATCTCAGAGACTATAAGAATTACCGACTAAATTTTAAATAAAAGTTCTTGTCTGCCACGCGCATATCAATTTTCTTATCGATGACTTCAAAACTATTTCCGATAGCAATAAAAACCAAATCTTTAAATTAATAACTTAAAATATTAAAACTACCATAAAAGGGAAAAGGAATACCCAAGTTATGACCCAAAAGGTGATCCTGCATGTATCCATATCTTACTATAGGCAGGCGCAAGCATTTTTAGTATATGTATGTATATACATAACAAAGTACATTTTTTTCCAAATGATATGAAAAAAGATGCATTTTTTCTGTCAAAACACTTTCTTGACATAGTGTATTTACATTTGACGCCGCCCCCCCAAAAACTTTTTAAAGGGAAATTTGACATTTAAGCTAGAGCATATTTAACAGCTGGGTTTTAAGGGTATCTCGTAGTCTCGATTAGGGCTTTCTTACTTATTTTAAAGTATTTTGATATTCTGTAAAAATATATTTACAGATTGCCATTTTTATGTCATTATATATTCGTATTCAACAGTAAAATTGTGTATATCTTTAGAACTAGTTCCTAATTATGATTTCAATCGTCCATCTGTGTGAAGGTCATGACAAGATCAAATTGGGCTTTTCATGGTGATCAAGGATACGTAAAAGAGGTCGTTTCTACCTTTTTTAATATTACCCTTATTATTAAAATCTTGGAAGAGTAACATATTTTTTTAAACGCACCAACATTAAGCTTTTTGTCGCGATACGTAAGCTACGTAAGATTACATCAAGTTTGTTGTGAAAAATTTCACTGTAGTTATTATACAAACTCTATTCCGATATTTCCATAATTCGGCAGACTCTCAATTCTTATTCGGATATATTCCCATTTTAATGGGTAGGTGTGTTTCTGTAAAACATGACAACCCTTATACAAGGCAACGGCGCTGTAGAAATTATCGGCTTCTGACGGTTGAATACTATGAATGTGTATGCGAGTGTGTCTGTGAATGTATGTGTGCGATTTACATGTACATGTGTAAATGAGTGTAGCTCTGTATGTGGAAAATACATACTATAAATTATTAAAGAGTTTTTGACTGCAAATTTGAAGTCCGTTGTGTTTATTTATTATTTTTTTGGTGAGACACATTTCAAATCATAAAATCAGTTTTAATTCAAATTTCTAATATTTGCAGCTATCAAAGAAAGCTGAATTCGGCAGCAAATGTCAGGCGTGGATCAGGTAATAGCAATTTTGTATATGTACATCAATACATACATACATACATAGGTGTGCATACCTTTGTGCATTCACTTGTGTGCGTGTGTGTTCATTATAACTTTTAAGGATCCGAAAATTTTCTGGAGTTTTATGCATCTGCTGTATGTATGTACATGTAAATAAATATACATATCTGCATTCGTATTTGCGTATGTAGATATGTACATACAATATATACATATATGTTTGTGCACACATGTATGTGTGTGCTGTGTGAAGTTAAATTTTGACGTTAGATTAATTAATTGTTTATTTCTTTCAGAATAAATCAGGAACTGCAGGTACATTTATAATATAATCCGGATTTCTCCAAAATTAATCAATATGTAAACATAATTTCAACATACATATGTATGTACCTACATACAAATATACACATTCAGACTATTTCTTTAGTTCTACATTAAAAATTATAAGAATATGTATGTATGTATGTCTATTTAAATGCATATGTATGGTTTATTATTAATATGTATTTTGAATAAATTTGATTTTGGACATACAAACATATATCGATACTATTCAAGATTTGTATGTTTGTTTATTTATTTCGCCATTTTGCGGTTTATTAAATCCCAAAATGTATCAGCTAAATCTGTTGAGGAGCGTAATATACCATGGAGCCAACAAGTCGATGAGGCCTCCTATGAAAACCTGTCTTCTCCAGCCATCGATGATAACTCGGGTAGCGTAAAATGAACTATATTCTAAACTAACACTACTATGCGCCTTTATCTCCTCTCTAATATAACAGGTACTCAAAGCTCAATGCAGTTCCAATTTCCACCGTTTAATGTAAAAGAAAATAATAGTTTACCATTGGGTAACGTGGGCAAAGGACGTAAAACATCTCACAATCATGGTAAGTAATTAACAAATTAACTGTATATACTCCACTGAATTATGAGAATATAGAGATATTTTTATTGGAATTGGAAAATGCATACTAAAATGTTTTTTATTTTTTATAACTTATTAGAAGATTATCTCACTTTTTGAATTTTTAATGTCAAATACAGCTACGCTTTTAATAACTGTTGAAACAGTGTTCTGACCAACAGTATATACATAATATCTAACACATGTGGTCCATAGCATTCTTAGTCTAGGGCCAACTTGACTGTTGACTAGCATATAAAGCTACGATCAATATAATAGTAGTGTGAAAATTAAAGAACAAATATAATTACAAAATTATGGAACTTTTCTCTTAACACAAATATATGCTTGGTTCCAAAACCTTCATTAGATAGAACAGCCGCACTAATGGAATGTTAACAGTGTGTTGTAACATAATTCCACATTCCGATATACCAATACAGGTACTGATATAAGATTTCTGTAATCCTAAATTTTTAATTTAGAAACATTTAGAGAAGTATTATAATCAAAGAAATCGAAATAATACTCCAAACAATTATTCGTCTATTAACATTTACTTGAAAGATAAATAAATACATATCCTTGGCTTAAGAAATCACATAGACCAACCGGTCAATTTTAAAAATGAGGCATTCAAATATTTCAAAACATTTCTTATTTTTATTTTGAAGCTAAAAAGCAAATAAAAAATATGCATAATTTATTTCAAATTATTTAAAAGATACAAGACGATCGAAATGTGTGCATGGAAAAAAAGAGACCAAATTTTACTAACTTTTATTAAAAAATAGGGTACATCTGGATAGAAACTTTGCCCTCTAAAGTATTATTTTTTCTCCGTAAATTTAGTGATTTGTTGCAGATTGAGAAATATTCCAACTGTGAGACATTTTCGAAATTTCGGAATCTATCAGATACATTTATTTATTTTACAAAACGCTTCTACAAATTTTAAATTTTTGTAACGTTTTCCGTAGTGTGTCTACTTACTGTTATGCGTTTGTTGTTCATTATTATAATTAATTACATACGCTTTCAGGCCAATTGAAAAATATAACAGCTTAGCTTTCAACTAATATTTCCTATGAGAGAGATAGCCACTTTGTCAGATGCAATATAAAGGACATGTATTAAGTTTAATTTTAATATTTAATTTTTCCTTCGATATCAGATATTTTTCATATTTATTCTTCATTGTTTATAAATTCGAGGCTTGAATCACCGGCTTATGTGCATTTTACATAGTGTGCATTACTATTTACAATTCGATACAGAAGCATCGTTGCAAAGCTCTGCGTAAATTTTGAATTAGAAATCTAAAGATTTGTTGCTTCTGCTCCCAACAATGGGTATATTTTCAAAATGATTCAAATCATTAATGAAACGAAAATTATACAAGCTTTAAAGCATTGAATAAGAATGAGCAATTGGCGATTCTCAGAAAATGTCCAACAAAGAAAGTAAAAAAGTTAATTGATAGAAACAAGAAAGAACGCCGATTAAACCGGAGATAGTCTGATGACATTTGAATTTAAGTTAGCAATTCGAAACTCCGATTCGGTCTGTTCCGAATCAAGTTTACCAAGATTTATCAAAATGGCTTTAAAACTTAGGGAGAATGGGTTAAAGAAATATGATAGACATATATAGTCATAGACAATATATAGTCATTAATTTCTTGCTAGACATGGCTTGTTGTTGATCAACTTTGTGGTGTCCACGACTTATCTTTCAACACGTGACACTTTATGAAAAAAATTTAATGCCCTCTGCAAGGGTATATAAAGATCAATTTTTTGGCGTTGAATATTGATCAATAAATTAAGAAGTTCGAAAAGTCAAGTTTTATTACATATATTTAGTAGATCGGTTTTATTCGATACGGTTAGAAAAATTGCTGCACACCAAAATCTGCAACTTAAATAGAAATAAGTAAATAGATCCGAATAATAATTGTAAAATTAACCTTAGCTTTTAATATGTCTTCTGTCCAGTCCATCTTTGAAATCTCTTGAATAGCATTCATTAGAATTGCTTGAACTTTATCAACCTGCTTTTTGAATGTATATATTATTTCAGTGGTAGTTGCTATTGGCTGTTTAGCACACCAACACTCTTTATTGGTCACGAAACTCAAAGATGCGTACAGGATACCGGCTTCTTTAGCCAAAACTGCTTCTGGACATAGTGTCATGCTTATGACATCAGCTCCCCAATTGCGATATGCGTTATTTTCTGCAAAAGTAGAATAACGAGGCCCTTCTAATGTGATTACAGTTGCCTTAGAATGTATAGGAAATTTTAGATCTTTGGTTGCTCTTAAGAGATGGTCCCTTGTACGTTCGCAAAATGCTGGATACATTGGGAGATGGCACACGCCAAATGGGCTGCCCACAGCGCCGTCATAAAATGTTTGAACACGTTTTGATGTATTGTCAATTATATCGTGCGGGACAATAATGTCTCCAGCATAAATATTGTCACGCAGCGAACCGACGGTGTGCGTACCTATTATATGGGTGCATCCCAACTTACGCATCGCCCAGATGTTAGCTCTATAATTAATATTCGATGGCATAATATCATGAAGACGTCCATTGCGCGATAGAAGAGCACAGTTCACATTTTCAATAGATCCTTCAATAATAAGATCTGAAGGCTTTCCAAAGGGTGTGCATACAGAGCATTCTTTTCTATCCGATAGTACAGTTAGTGTGTCGAGCCCAGATTCACCAATAATTCCAATTTTGACTTCATTTTTACTTTCGTCCATACTTCTGAGAATATGTTTCAAATATCTAACGTAATTTTGATAATGATTTGAACGTATACTCTCTCATCCCGAATTTAACAAAATGTCAGTTAAGTTGACTTCTAATGCTAGCATACCTGGTAAATTAAAAAATGCTTTTCCCTTAACCCCCACAGAAGGTAATTACCAATCTATGTAGATATAGATGTATATGAATAAACTGTAAGTGCTGACTGATTTAGCTGACTGATTTAACATCAACGTATAGCCCAAACCATAAGGGCTGGATCTTTTGAAGAAGGTAAATTAATCCGGGGCATATATAACCTTATGGAAAGCAATCTTATCTTTATGCTTTATTGGGCCTTACGTTTCTTGCAAATGCTCTCGTAATTAATATTGCTATCTTGGATATTGTACGTCTTCCCATAGGTCTATGTAATTTAAAAAAAAAAAAACTATTTGCCCAACCAACCAGCTAACATCATTGAACGCTTCAACGTAAGACTTCAGGTTTCTCGTTCCCTTTTACCTCACTATCCTGTGATCTTCTTGGTTTCTAAATCTTTACGCTTAAGGCTCAATATGGATAATATTGCTAGAAACCGTCTCTGCCAAGTGTCTTGTAAAACTTTAATTTACTTTTCCCAGTCTTTACACCATTTTCAGGTAAAACTGAACTGAACACAAAAAAATGTAAACCTGTTCCTTTTCTGTTTGAACTGCTGACACGTTGACACGATCCTTTTTTTTCCTTTGTATTGCCCCTTCAGGTCTAGTCTTGCTTGATTGAGAATTCTAAATTTGTTGTGCCCTTAGAAATCTGTAGCGGTCTAATCGAGCCACAAGTGATATCCGCATTTGTCTCTAAGGCCAGCTCTCTCTTCCGAATACTGAGAATTTATATGATTTTTCGTAAAAGGGAAACAGCTTTGGTTTCGCTTGGCGATCTTTTAACTATGATTTTAAAATTAAAATTTGAACTGACTAGCTTAATCCAGAAAAATAAATTAAAAATACAATACAATACAGGTACAAAAATACAAAAAATGTGCTTGACAGAGCTACAGGGTGTGTCTCCGAGTTTCTAAATTCTATCTGAAAAATAAGGCCCTCGTGCCAACTGAAAGCCATATTTCCTTTTGGAGTTAAAATAAAATTAGCGTTTTCTTTATATAGCCGTCCACGATGCAAATACCTGATTACAAATTTCGATCGAAAGCTACTCATTAGTTACACAACTTAATAAATATCACTCTAATTATACTTACGTGATGAGTACTTATTATATGCAACAAAATGAGTTTTTATGCATTTAAAGTGTTAAGCAGTGCAAACGTTATTAATTTTTTATTTTCCGGCTCTGGCTTAATAACATTTCTTAGAGATATTAAACATTTGTTATTTTTAATTTAATTGTGAGATTACTAGAAGAAAATATAGCATTGTTCAGGAGAGTATGACAAATTACTACACAGAAAAAATTTGAATTGATTTCTTTTAATCAATAATTAATAATAATTGATTTATTATAACATATATAGAAACAAAAGAATACTTTGGCAATTATAATTAAATGATTTAATTTCATACTTTTCAGATACAAAAAAAAAATATGGAAATCCAGGTTCTCACAATAATCCAAAACGTGACGATCAGCAATTAAATGCTTGGAGCTCTAGACGACTTTTTGCAGAAAGTTCTGCGACCTCTATACGGGTATGCAGTCTTTTTAATATTATTGTGAAATTTTCTTATGTAGTTAAACTAAAATTGTAAGTATGACTAACCCGAATTCAGTTAATTTAAATCTGGGCTATCAAAAGTAGTCTATCGAAGCTTAATTGCGTATATAGATAATCAAAAACTTTATTATTTCAAGGACAAGTCTAAAAAAAATTGTCACATTGTTGGGAAAAATAATCATAGCTAAATTCACAATAATATTTTAATGCAATGTAGATGAATCAAAATGAGGATGGACAGTCATCAAAATTGGACAATCGCACGTGTGAACCTTTGGATGAAATTAAGATTCCCGCAATTAACGTTGCACCAAAAAAGACAACATGGGCTTCAATCGCTTCGCAACCAGCAAAAATAACTTCGAAAGTAAGTTGTAGAATATGTTTTTTTTTCGTAAAGTGAATGTAAAATCTATTCTGTTGTCATTTTTGCACACACAGACAACCTTTACCGCTTCCAGCCATAAGAAGAAAGGTCCCGGCATGCCGCCACCCCCCATGGTACCCGGAAAGCATAATTTAGATGTTAATGTATGGGATATGCCAAACAGTAATCCACCGCTAGTACCATCCCCGCCTTTACCAATTGATTTGTCCTATTCGGAAGTTAATTTTTCTGTAACGACTAGCGAAGAACCATCACCTGCCACTCGATCTGAAAAAGATGAATGCCATAGGTTGGCCAATAACAGTAATTTTGCTTGCGCTAAACCTTCGCCGAATGGACAAGCACGAAAAAACTGGGTTGCACCGCCGCAATCTGTTCATCATCAAGAAATACGACAAACGAGCAGTACTACTGCTCAACCTGTCCGGCGAACTGTCCCTGTCGGCAATCAAATGCGGTTTAACGATCGTAGAGGAAATTTCGGTGGAATTCGCAATGACTATGACACAAACGTTAGACATGAAAATAACCGAGATGAAAATAGTCCACATGTTGCACCAAGTGCATCTAAACCTGAAGAGGCGACGGCTGATCCACAAATATTATTGGACGAATTGAAGGACAAGAACAACTATAATCCAACAGAAATCGATTTAAATAAAGCAACTTCCGCACGGTAAAAAAAAAATCTGCCAGCAATTTGATTAAACAAGAATTAATTTGTTTTCCGTTTTTCTAGGTTTTTTGTCATAAAATCTTATTCTGAAGATGACATTCATCGCAGTATAAAATATGAGATCTGGTGCTCAACAGATCATGGCAATAAGCGCCTAGATGATGCTTTTAAGGAACGTCACAAAGAGGGCGGTAATGTTTTGCTTTTTTTTTCCGTAAACAGCTCAGGCCATTTTTGTGGCATGGCACAAATGATGACTTCAGTGGATTACAATTCCACATCCACCGTTTGGTCTCAAGACAAGTGGAAAGGGAAGTTTAAAGTTAAATGGATATATGTCAAAGATGTGCCTAATGGAAAACTCCGACATATTCGACTCGAAAACAATGACAATAAATCAGTGACGAACTCAAGAGATACACAGGAGATACCAAACACAAAAGGCATAGAGGTGTTACAGATATTACACTCCTATAGGCATTCAACATCCATTTTCGATGATTTTTCCCATTATGAAAAGAAACAAGAAGAGGAGGTCTCGTCAAAGCGACCCACAATCCATGTCACAGATGCCATTAGCCAAACTCAAGTACCAATCAACCGACATTATGTCCGTGAAAACGATGATAGAGAACGGGAACGCGATGTGCGAGACAGCCGTAGCTTAACTATTAATATGTCTCAAAAGAATTATTTTAGCGGTGGAAATAATTTTCGTGATCGCAATTCAGTCCATAAAAGTGGTGCCGGCAATTATCACAACAGCTATAGCGACTATCGGCGAGGATTCGATTGCCAGCGACCACTTAGTGCGGCCTATGTAACGAAGGACAGAGAAACTGTGCAGAGTGATCGAGAAAACCATTTTGGATCACGTCATGGGCCTAACAACCGAAGAGACGAACATCCACACAGCCATTCAACTAAAGCAAGGTTAAATAACCGGGATTTCAATACTGAGCAAATGAAAAGTGATGTACGATTTAGAGCCGAAATTTCAACAACAAGGGATTTACCAAAAGTATGCATTACCCCTTGAATATCTGCATACACTTTTATTCCTAAATGTATTACATGATAAACTCTTATGTTGCAGACTAATGAAAATGATAGGATGCGAAACAATGACTATTAAAGTGACTGAGCTGCGGAAAAAATAATTAACTGATTGGACGTCTAAATGTACGCCACTTAGAATCCTCATGCCTGTGTGCACCCATGATTAGCTGATTTCATGATTTTCTAAAAAAATAATGTGTGTACAAGCAGTAAATTAGAATGATAAAATTAAGCTGAAAATAAAGCCAACAACCGGTAATTAGGTTTAACTACAATAATATGATAACATTTTTATGTAATTTATTATATTTATATAAATCGATTGACTCTTTTTTTGAACAGTTCATTCAAATATTATTGAATCGATTTGTACACAATTTAAAGTCAAGGGTTTACTTGTTTCATTCCTTGTAGCTGCACTGCTAATATTAATAAAACTTATTTTCATCTATATAAAGTGTAAACTGAGTATGTGAAATAATTAAAGTTACCATTTTCATTATACCCATTGTTGCCTCAATCTCAACAGCACTGATATCAATTTATATATTAAAATGTACAAGAAAAACATAAATATTCTGATAATAAAATATATCATAGCGCATTTGAAACTTGTGGAAGAGTCCCGTCTATCAGGGTTGTTGACTCAATTAAATTGAGTTTGGAAACCAACTTAACAAATATGCGTTATGACCAGTGTGTCAAACCGAAATTGGACTCGGAACTGCATTTTTACCGATTGAAGTTCGAAATCGAATCCTAAATTCTAATTTTTGTAAAACTCAAATGCGAGAATATATATTCTTTGTATCGAAAAGACCGTTTTGTAACCAAAACAACCTACCGGAACAACGAAGCTGTCGATCGCATTAGTAAGGTGTAAGTATGAATCGTTTATTATGGAGTCGTAGATGCTTCTTCATATAAAAAATGCTTTTGTACCACTTCGTAATCCCTTATTTTGTATTCAATTTTTAATAGGTTTTGTCGACCTGCTGCTCCCAACCGACAGAGTTATATGTATATATGTCTTACGTTGATAATTTTTTTTGTTAAAATGGAATCAGATGCACCAGAACCTAAATTCGTTACGGTTTGAAACCCTGTTTTTAACGTACCAATAAATCTGAAGAATTGTTTCTGAAAAAATTCGTGGATGACACAGAGCTTTATTTTTAAATGAGCAACGAGTCAACGAATTGCATTTAACTAGGGTTTTTTCTTTATTATTGGTAACACATATTATCGCCCTCATTTTACTCAATATTTAAATTTGTCGCGGTTACTTCTAACACTTGCTCATTAGTCACATAACTACCAGCACAAGAGAGATAAGTTTAGTTTTTTTTTCTGTTCTAAGCTGTAATTGATAAATGAATTTTTTATTAAAAATGTTAAAGTTATATCAATAATAATTACAAGCTTCAACTACAAATTTTATTACTATTGTGGATTGTGAGCAAAATACTAGAAGTAATTTCCCCATTTAGCCGCGATGTTCTGTTTAACTTACAATTGAAAATAATGTGAACCCGATTGGATGAAAAAATTGCATTCATCGGGTTTTCCCCATCTCTGATCTGAATTTTATAAGCCCCCGTCTCAGATCTCACTGCTGCGAAAAATCAGCATTCAAGTGTGGGTCGTCCGTTAGGTTAAAGACATCCAGGCCTAACTGTCTTCATACCCTGAACGCACTTAAAATGGGAAAAAAATTATATGATTAAGTTGTGCAAAGATACGGAACATGAAGAAAGAAGTATTTCCGACCCCCTTATATGTATAAACTCTTGATTAGCATTAGAGTATAATATCGAATGTAAGTTCTCGTATAAATATATATCTTCCATTTTGCAAAGAGGGTCGAACTGTAATTTTTCAGAAATTTTGATTACCAATCGTGTGCGCGCCTATGTGAAGTTTAGATTCAGAGGGCAGCTTTCCCCTCCCCGATTTTTGTACGATCTTTTTGGTAACTCATATATAAAGTTGTATGCACATGTATATACATCGGTACACATATATACACATGTCGTCTCTACATACAGCATATACAAAAAATTACTTTTATCAGTTCAGAGTATTAAAAATACAGCTGTCTTAGGCAAACAAAATATTGCATACCCTTGCAGAACGATATAAATATATAAGTAAAATATATATATAGATATATGTATATATATTTGGTATATATATTTATATATATATATATAGCGTTGAGTGAATTACAAAAAATCTAACAAAGGCAGATTATTATTATGGTGCTATATTTTTTACCGCAGCTATGTCATGTATGTCGAGCGTCATGATATTAAGAGAAACTGTAAGCCGAAGCAGATTTTGTTCATCAGTACGCTTTGGCCTGCCTCTGCGCTTTGAGTTGTTCGCTACTTGATTCCGACAAAATTAAAAAAAATAAAAATGGATGAGGAACTTATGTGGAAAGGGTTTTTTAATAAACTGGAAGAAATTAAAATGAACCCACCCACAGAGCACGAACACCAGTGAGTACATATTCATCTGATTATAATTATGTATAAAGGTTATTCATGTACACCTGTGAGTCACAATTTTGAAATTATGTGATGTGAGCATGGATTCATACAAGCATACATATTAGTAAATGATAAACACATGTTGGACTGTATATATACCTATATATATATTTATAATATATATATTGCATAGACATTTATATGCATATATATGTACATGTGCATCTCTTTCATTATCTCAGAAATGAGATTCTGCTCAGATCAAACAATGACACATACAAATATACACATACAGTTAGAAATTAAGGTAAGCACATAGATCCGGTTTTGTTCGGCGTTTCGAGTATTATTGTTGCGTAAAAGCCGTGCGAACTGTTTACACAATCGGAGCGCCTAAGCTCAAAAATATCGATACTTTTTTAATGCACAAAATGTTTTAGTTTATTTATTTATCGAGAAAACATATTTATTTTATTAAGACACATCGAAATATGTTGAGAATATGAATTAGAATAATATTCCACTTGCTCAACAAAAATAAAAATCTATCCCTTACTGACGTCATTGAGTATAGCGTGTGTCATAATAAATTAAAATTACATTCCGAGTGACTCAGAAGACTTTAGAGATTTAGGCGACGGTTGCGCTTCAAATATGAACAAGTAATGAACGGCTATCTTAAGCACGCCGAAAATTATATACCCTTGCAATCTTCCGACTTATATCCGAATCCAAACTTGAAGAAAATATATTTTGTGAAATAAGTTTAGATGTTTAAAGTAGTTATATTGTAACATCAGGTGTGCCATGTAGTGCTACGTGCTACGTGGTGGTCTCGATGTCACCACTTATAACTCATCTTTCGACCGATTGATCATATGGGAGCTATGAGATACAGCAGATCGATCCAGGACCAGAAAAAAAACGGATAAGTTCCAACTCACATCAAGAGGGACAAAGAACTAGTCGCATAGGAATTAAATACATATTTGACTCGTCAAGTGTCAAGTATCGACAATAGTGTGTACGTTTAATGATATTTAATTTGACTTTATATGTAAACAATAAATATTTCTCTTAATACCTAATTCTTATATTAATCAAAGCTATAAATGCGCAAACGCGACTTGGAGCTTAAAATCTACTTATGTATACCCTCTGCCTCTTCCACTACTGATAATTAAGTCAGCTGTGTTTTTTTTTTTTGCCAAATTATTAGTTGGGAACCAAAAAGATTTGCCGTGCTGAAAATGTAGCATTTAATCACTAGGGGATGTTCCTAAATCATTTTGTTCCACTCAAAATACTGGCAGTATTTTTCGGTCTACAACTAATAATAATTGGCATTCACGGCGTTAGTGTAAACAAACCTAGTGCCAAGATTTGAAATTATAAATCAAGCTAAATAAAAATAAAATATTATATTCAAGATTATTATATTAAATTACATGTATTTTAAGTTAGCAGTATTTATGGAATCCCAAGGAGTCCCATTGCCTAGACTTTGGATTTTGAAAAACATAAAGAATTTCATCTTTCGTAGAAGGTTTTTAAACAAGATAGCTTTATTTAGTATTTGAATCCATGGAAGTCTTTACATGTAAATAATTATTACTTATATAAATTAAGAAGCAGCTCAATGGTCAAATGCAGTTTCCACAACTTGTGTTTTGCTTTGTGCACAGAGTTGCCAACAGTTGCATATTTAGTCTACATTGAGCCATCACCTCTATCTTCATTGACAAACTGATGTTGCAAAACTGAGAGGAGTTTTAAAATTACCAACTACAACGTCTAATTTCTACTGAAAAGTTCATTTCTGTGCGCAACGATTTATACATCTAACTAACAGCTGAGACTAATGCTGATGTTGCTTATGTGAACAGTTGTTCATATCTTTGAAAAATTCCAATTTATCTCACAAGATGTCGCTCTGTGCGATTCGCTTATAAGAAATTTAAAACAAGTGAATACGGCGCAGTCGAATACGCCTTTGATATTAGAATACAAAAACGTTTCTGCGGATTTGATTTTGGGTTGTGAATAATCTTTAAAAATTATCTGTGCTCTTGTAATAAAGATACGTTAAGATTTCTTTTGAGTTGAGGGTCTCCATCTCTCCTGTCATAAGTTATGCTTTCCCAGAACTCTATTCGATTTCTAGCGAGTGCTACACATTATGAAATAATGTGTTTTATGGATTCCCAAGTTCCTGTCATCTCCTCCAATCTTACGTCCCCTAATTGGAGCCGGGCTCTTTCCTTTTTTGCTTACACAGCCGCCTATACTTCCAGCTATGTCCTTGTGACCTGGAAGCAAGTTCAGTGCATGCTTGCTGCCACTTTCATGTTGGTCTAGTTTGGTTCTTACCACTCGAACCAGATATTATTTTCTCAGATGTCATGTTTTCCCATGGCACAATTTTCGACTTGGAATGTGCCTAGCCCAAATTAAGGTCTACCACTCCTTAACCAATGTAAGACGAAAATCGGTATAGCATTTAATGGTGAGGTGTTTCAGACACAAAAATCCCTCCGCTCGATTACTCTTGGAGTAAATCCAACTATTTGCCGATTATGTGACTGTGATTACTGTGAAACAGTGACTTTTAAGATGATGATAGTTTCACCATGAGACATACCTTTCCTTTCTAGTTCTAAGGTTGCATTACTATCGTATCTACTTTAAATGAGGTTGCCCTGTAATTGGACATTTGTTCTTGACAACGTGCCCATCTCGACATGTGGGACGAACTGACTTGTGTCCAGCATCTCTATCTATTTTTTGAGTATTTTTATTAAAGTTGAAATCAGCCAGGCACTCGGCGTCTGTATTGAGATAACCAGACATTCTCTACTACGTGCACGACTATCCTGCGACATAAGTGCTATATAGGTTCTGCGAATTTGGAGGTTCCCGGCTCTCTGATGATCCAAGCGTTGACAGCAGATGGGCGTGGGTCGTGTCGCGTCTTGTTATTCGGTCGCCCACGAGCATAGAAGAAATA